GTTGTTAATTAGTAGGTCTTTCGTGTTTTTCCTTCCGTTTTGCTTTGATTAAGTATTGGGTATGGATCCTTTTTGGTTTAGGAAAACCCATACTGCACGACGTGATTAGGGTGGCAGATAATGGCGGCGAGAGTGATTCAATCGAAGATGATTGGTTTTGGTGTTCTGTACTAAAGCAGAAGTCGAGATGATTTCTGCTTCAATACACAACACCGGGATGAAGCGGCGAGGAGCTTTTTCTAGTTTGACCAGATGCCTTCAACGCACATGGCTCCTCTTTATCTATGTCGCTGAGCAGTTCTGGTGGTCGATGTCTCGCCTACGGATAGCAGCCTTTTCCTTTGATGGCATGCTATACAGGCTGGTCTTTTTGCAAGCCATGTTAAAAAAATAAGAAGAGGTATAGGTGAATATGAGATGATGACAAGCTGGTGGATATTGCTTTCCTGCTTTACCCGTTTTCTCTATATATGCCTCGCTTTGCATTTCGCGATTCTTTGGCTATCAAAATACATGACAGAACAAAGGAGGAGTCTTTTGTAAGGAAGCAACTATAAGATACAAAATTGAGAAGGGTAGGTACAAGCTCACATCCCAAGCCGAGCTTGAGAGTTGGTCTGCTGAGCGTAGTTCGGTATACTCATGTTCCTAGAAGCACGTCCTTTGAAGTTGGTGATTTATAGTCACGGCTGCTATGAGAGGTGAAACTGGTTCCTGCAGCCGCTTTTCCTACATCTCACTCTTCGGAGAAGTCCTCGTCCCCAGGATTCATAGAATGTTGGCATAAAACATGGCATGGTCAGCTTACACATATGCCGCGCTTGTTCCAGCATACGGAACCAAGTTGACGGCATGCATACGGAACGGAACGTGACCAAGTTTTGCGCATTTCGTACAAAGGTCATTTGATATGTGTTTGCTTTGTGTAAAATGGCATCAGTTGTTGCACTCTGCGTCGAGCGATTCCGCGTAGACGTGACATTCAATCCTCGGGACCATGGCTTTGATTGTTTTTCTCCAGTGTGTTATGGAGCTGGCAGGTGATAGGTATGAAGTGTCAACTGGAATTGGTTGTTGTGGTGACGATTAGTGAGATCTTCGCGTTTCTTTTTCTTTCCTTGACGTATTGATTGAGTGTTGAAGAATTGGTTTCCTGGGTTTGGAAGAAACGAAGATGTACAGCGTGCTTGAGGTGGTCGAGTACATATTTATGGGTAAAAATAGGTTATTTTGGGGGAAATGGCAGATGTTCAAGCGTTTTGGACTGCTGAAGCGATTAAAGAGAAGTTTGACGTGAACTGCGTCACCTTCCGGGTCGGATGAATGTCTTGCGCAAAAAGAAATTGGCGATAATGGCGTTAAGAATTCGATTGAGGATGACGGCGGATTTTTTATCAAATCAGAAGTCAGGGTGTCGCAGCCGGGAGCTTCTTCTTAAAGGCATTTTTTGTTGCTCTCAGAGAGGTTAGTTTTATTCGGCGGAGGTGCGGCGAACAATAGAGTTGACTAAAGAATAGGCGGATGACAGGAGATGTAGGAGATTTTTATTGCTTGCCTTCAATGAATACTCTCACTGGCCATGCGGTTTACGTAGAAAGATACTATTTATTACAAATTAGGTCATATGGTTGATAAAAGTTAAATATAAATCTCGCACAAGTATATTCGTAGATCGGATGGAAATCGTTGGCAAATAAAGTGAAGATTTTGTGGGAACCAAATATTGAAGAAGTTCTAGATTGGGGTACGGACCTGGGGAACTTCTATGTGCTTGACAGATACAGAAGTTGAGTGATTCAAAAAAAAGCGCAAGTTCGAAAGCTCATCTGACTATCTTACTAACATTACTAGCGCAGTTACAGAAGTAGTCATATAAATTAAACTTGGCGGACAGACATTGTGGAATAAGTTTATTAGTTTACGAAGAAGAGGTTTTAGCCACGTAACTACAGCAGTTTTAGGCCATGATGCGTACCTGATTTTCCATTTCGTTGTGTTCGTGCATGCTTTTGACCTCAGTATTTTCGAAATTAATGCTTACGAACTGAAGCAGCAACTAGTGTTATATGGGCCAGTGGCGTCACTCATTTCGAAGCATGTTTTAAAAAGAACAGAGAGTAGATGTTAATGTATTCGAAGCAACCTTGAGCAAAGAAAAGAAAAGAACATTATAATCCTTTTTTT